TTCGACACACAACACAACCAAACATTTATTCATATTCATAATTTCCATCCAGCTGTACCCAGTTCATCACCACACATTCGCACAGCCGGAGAAAGCACGGACGAGGCGAACAACACTCTACGTCTGATACGATAGGAAACAAATCCATGTGTACAAGCACCATCGCACGTGTGCAACGTGTGGTGCGGAATGCAGATGGGCAAGCATTTCCACAATTTTTCCTGAAACTTTCGGAATGCAGTCCTCAAAACACCACGGGGTAGTATTGGCCGCAGCGCAAATATTTCGAGCAATGTTGCGACGTTCATGCTCGAATTGGGTGCCCGTAACATAAGCAAGTGATTGCAACTAAAGAATACACACAGAAGGTGATATTACCAGAGCACAATAATAATTATGACTGTGATGTTCACTTACGCTTTCGTCTTGGAGGAGGCCATGGCTGCAGCAAAGTTACCGAGTCATTTCCAAGCAGAGCATAGCGTTCACGTGCATTTCTCAACAATTACCACAGGCTGCGAGAGAGACAACACTCTTCAGCTACTTGAAGGCCTTCCCAAATCGTCAGGCACGATAACTAACTTTATGTTTCTGTTGTTTGTTTGAGCATCGTTTCCAATATTTCCTCGATTTTGACATCTGAGATGACATCAGAACAGCTGGGGTATGTACTCATGACGTCATGTTCCTTGCACCGCATGCAAACAGTGACTGCCTGCCGAAACACCAGTGTGCGAAAATAAACCCCCCTCCCCGTAGATATTCGTAGATATTCAACTCCTGCATATCGAATGACTTTTATTATGACACCATTGCCAATGGCAATGTCCCAGGCCTGATTGAACCCACACAACATGCACACAACATTGATCATTACTATTACATGTACTATACTTAGAAACAGTTTTCATTTTTATAACCAAGAGTACATAACCCCGGGGTTATGTACTCTTGTTATAACGCATCATATCTTGTGGGGAGCAGGGAGTCGTAAAATACCGGTATTTTACGACTCCCTGGTGGGGAGCATGTAAAACATGTGCACTCAGATCATATGCATAATAATCATAGGCATCGGCCATATGCCAGTTCTGGCGCCGCTTGTATGGTGTGAGTGCATTTCTGCTCAGATAAACAAAGAACTCCAGCACGGTGTTCATTATAATAATAATTATCAGGAGTCGACTGTCACATTTGGAATGTAACGTAACCTGGCAACCGAGTCCTGCATATTGTTGGAGGTCTCTCGCAGCAATACCTGCCCGCCCACGTACATGCACAGTAGCTCGTGCTGACTCAGTGATTCAGGGTTTATTTCGACCCTGAGGCGTTTTGCCCACACAGGAAGCAGAACAGCCACATCCAGCTGTGTATCGTGACTCGTGAGATCAAGGCCAAGAAGGAATGCAAAGAACAGATCAAGCAAGCGGCTTGAACGCAATAATCATGTGCACTACTAGAAGTACATGCATGCGCACAAAACTTGAACCAGTGGAAGCTGTGAGTGCATACTACGGGTGCACACTAACATGGCTCAGTTCTGCTACAGCGCAATCCTTGCCGCAATCTACATCCTGAACTTTGAAATAACGTGCTCAGGTAGAGTGAATATGTGTGATCAGCAAAAATCAAAATCATTGGCGATTACTAGTACATCAGAAGCCGGAAATTATGGGCTGCAACTTCAGAAGTCATAGTATTATTACTTTTACGTGTCATGTAATTACTTTCGAAGTATCATTGGATGATCTGCACTCGTCATTGGATCAAGTAGTAGTCCAGGAAGTAGGCAAACTATACTGTAGTCTATACCATACTAGCTGTGCATCACTGTAATCAGTTGTGCGAAGATTGCTATAATGGCATGAAACTTTAAGTTACGACAATCAAAACGCGTGGTTTTCTGTGACTCGTGTGTTACTGCTCTGCTTCCGCATTGAGCACTCTATCGAGCCGGAGGACTCAGCTCTGTGCAGTGTGGAGATATGTTTCGGGGTTTTCTAAGAATTCGCAAAGTCCAATGCCGCCATCATCACATCGCGGCGGGGCGCCGCTTGAGTCTCTCCCTCAACATCCATACGTACAATCACACGGTCTCCTTGCTGTCACACTGGGTCTCAGCTTCTTCTGCCGGATGTTCGTGTACGGTCCATCGGCCAGACCAGGTAGCAACAAGCAGACCTAACAAACTGTCGGTTAACTTGATGGTGTTCTCTAAAGGAACTTCTTCAATCTACTTTCGGTCCAATGATCTGGTGATCAGTTCAGCAACTTAAGAACCGAGTATAGACACGTAGTCCTCATCAATGACACCAGTTCAATATTCTGATGATGGGCAAGGCCCGAAAATTTGGTGTAATGTTCATCTTAATTTTAATTTGAAGCGCAGTGAAGAGATCAGTTTGGAGTTGAGAAGTGAAGTTAGTTTGCTAAATGGCATCAGTCTTACATAAAATATACCCTTGGAGTTGGAGGAAACACTTCACAATGCTCATGTGGCATCAGTCAGCGACGAGTGAGGGCTTAGAGTGCCTGGCATACAGCCCAAGGCCGAGTCCGAATGCCTGCTTGGAATTTCGGATGCTCATCAGTTTGGCAGAGTAGAGGTTGAGCTACGGGAATAGGATACTGTTAGGCTCAGAGCTCAGAGCGTGGGCACCCGGCCACCGCGCTCCAGTCGGCTCTGCCCGATGGTAAAGCTGGGAGCGCTGGGGTATACACGGTGAACTTGCGGCGCGTAGTTGTTAGGCGCCGGTGCGCTTCCTGTAGTGAAACAGACAACAGACACAATGATGACGAGAAGAAGAGAACCATAGCTCAGTGGTTAGAGCATCGCTGGCTACAAGCGAGGGTCCCTGGTTTGCGTCCTGGTGGTGACAGTGAATTTTTCCTTCACACTTTTCCCGTTTTGTGTCTTTCCCTCAAACCAGTGAAGAAGAAACGAAATTTAGAGACACCCCAGCTGGGCTCCTTCAACAGGACAGCGGAGAATTGTGCTCAATACGCGAGGCAGAGTATTCATGAGTAGTGCCAGGGGCGTCGGAAGGTATGACAGTGTGGTACGGCCAGCCACATGAAGTACAATTTACTCGTGTGGCTGGGCTGGGCTGGCCCCTCTGGAATTTTTGGAAATTTAGAGCCCAGATCAGTGCTTTTTATGTATTCACAGGGTACCCAGGACGAGTAGTGGTACGGTCAATACCGTAGTGTGTACAACGCCCCTAAGTACGAGGACAAGGACAACGACAACATCGTGAAGGAGAGAGTGGCCTAAGTACGAGGACAACGACTACGACAACAACGTGGAGGTGAAGGAGAGAGAGCTTGTCCTTACCATACTTGGTCCAGTGCAGCGGTCCGGTACGCTGGCGACCAAAGATACTGGCCACCGGCGCCCGCGCCTGCGTGGAGCCGTACCACGGCGTGTAGGCCGTGGGCGAGGGCACGGAGAAGCGAGACTTGACGAATCGCGGCTCTGCATTCAGTCCTGTTACACGTGATATAACAACGCATGCAACAAGGAGACAGAGAGAGAGTCATCCCGGCATACAATGATGTCATGTCGCCGGTACAGAGGTACTTCAAATAGAGAAGAAGAAGACGACGAATGGTGTTCATTTGCTTGAATGATTGACATAGAGAATAACTGAAGGAAATTGGCTATCACCGCCAAGACTCGAACCCGGAAACTTAACCGCAAAGGCCAGCTGGGTGTTCTACCAATAAGCTATGGTGCATTCGACACACCTAGCAGAGGCCGTTCACCATTAAAAGGTGAACAGTCTCTGCTACAGGTGGGTCATCATAGCTTTTTGGTATTTCTCAGGCTTCAGACTTCGACACTCACGCCTCCTGTGAGACTACATTTTCTGTTTGCAGATTCCTGTGAAACTGCATTTTACATATGCAGGCTGGTAAGAAGCAGCCCTCACTCTACTCAAGTACTCCATGTACAAACTACTCACTGTAAAAGCCGTATATATAACGAAGTGCTAACTCTAACGAGTTAACGAGGAGAAATCTATTGAGCGTTGAGAATGAGTGAGAATCGTTACCTTTCGTAAACGTAAACTAGTCAATTTTGGGAAATCGTTATATATGCGCCTCGTTAGAATAATGGCTTTTGCAGTAGTAAGCGACTGGGTCACGGTCTAGGCAACTACTGGTATTTTCAAGCGATTTCCCCATACATCTGAAAAGCCGTCTGAAGCACACGAGACTAAAAGAGAAACGGTACTGACGGCAAACATCAGACAAAGGTGCAACGTGTCTTTTCTCTATCAGGTAGTTTCTTCATCTGTTATTCAGAGTCTAGCCGTGTGGTAAGACGAAAAGGCAGAAATGCCTGTGCATCTGGTGAAGTAAAATACAAACAAACAAACAAACAAACAAAGCAACAGTTCCGCTCAGTGTGGGTTGTGGTCGAGCACCCCTGACCAACCTATTTCCTGACGTGTCGCTCCGTCAACCTGGTCCTGTCCCTGTCCATGCCGAGCTGCTATTGCCGCCACCTGTGCCGGGCCGTGTCGTGTCGCCTGCTGACCGGCCTCGCTGGGACGCTTCCGGCGATTGGGAAATCCGGTCGGCGGCCGATAGGTGTTCGGTGCTGGCCACTGCGACAGAGGGGAGGGGGAGGGGGGGGGGGGGGGGGGGGCACACGCAGAAATTCAGAGCAGGCCATTCTTGTAGGCCATGTGGGCATTTTAGGGATCATAGAATAATGAAGAATGTTGTCCTGGAAATGCATATAAATTTATGGGAGGTGACAAAAATCAGGCCAGGCCTGTGTAGGCCATTTAAGGGATTTTGGAGATCATAGAGAATGACACATGTTGTCCTAGAAAGGGGGATGATGTCATGCGGCACTGTTAAAAAGTGTTCCCTTGACATTGGATGGAGTCCAGGCATCTTAATGATGGCTATCCTCTGCTGAGGAATGTCTCCTTCGATAGCTCAGTTGGTAGAGCGGAAGACTGTAGTGTGTGCATCGTTGGGATGTACAGTCATCTTTAGGTCGCTGGTTCAAATCCGGCTCGAAGGATTTTTTTGCCTTCTGCCGATCTTCCAAGATCTTTTTTGTGCAAGGGAACATAAATTTTGTTGCTTACCATGTCGGCACAAATGTGCATCCTAACCTTTCTCTTAAACGCCATCTGGTTCGAATCCGGCTCAACGAATTTGTTTGCCTTCTGCGTTCTCCCAAGATGGTCTGTTTTTGCAAGGGACACATGCATTTTGCCGCTTACCATGGGTTGCGGCCCACATTAGCAATGCGTGCACATGCTACGAGATGGAGTTTAACAATAATGTCGGCGCAAATGTGCATCCTCTAACCTTTCTCTCAAACGTCACCGGGCTGGTCCAAGTGTCGTTGCTCTTCATCCACGGTTTGCCGTGTGCTGTCCTGCCTCCACCGCCTGGGTTGTGTACAGAGGATGCATAGACGCACACACACACACACACACACACACACACACACACACACACACACACACACACACGAGCACGCACGCACGCACACAACAAAACGAATTATCTCCCTTTCGTAACACTTCTAAAACATCACTGCAATCGGTAGGAATCTCAACTCAGGTGTGACCCACAATGTAAACGGAGAGCGACATGCATGCTAAATTCTCACCGTCCTCTTCAACATCACGTGACAGCGAGCATGCAGACATCATAATACAATCATGTAGGGTGACGCCTGTGGACAATGAAAGCCTGAAAAGAATACTTGTCTCACTGTATCGGGATTAGAATATTTCGCTACTCCCTGCTGTCAACAATACTCGCATGCCTTCTGTTTCCTCTTCTGCCCGGATTTTTGCAACAGATGCGTTCTACGGGCCATGCGCTTTAAAGAAGCAAGTGGGTCATTGCATGAGTTATATGCAGACAGTACTTGTGAGTACTTATTTTACCGTATTCTCCAGAGAATAATCCGTACTTTTAAATCGTGACTCGTTATTCACCCAAAAAGTCAGTGCGGCTCATACTAAGATTGTCGAATGGATTGCAGCATGTTATTTTTATTAATATAAACACTGGACATGGATACTGGATAACTGTACTCAGTAACTCTTTACATTTTACAGGCTACGTGTTTTTATAGAAAGGAAAAGGACCAAGGAACTACAAGTTACGCTATAATGTCCACTAACACCACCAGTTACTAAACAATCAGCTTATGCGATAACATTGCGCGACACTGACCGACGGTGTTTAGCAACTGGTGGTGTTAGTGGACAGTATAGCGTAACTTGTAGTTTCTTGGTCTTTCTCTTTTGTATAAATTAAACCTTGGCTTTCCATCTGAGTCTATGTGTTTATTATTATTATTATTGTAAAGCTTTCTTTTGATCTTGTCTCTTATTGTTGTGTACTTTCCACAATCAATCGATTGTGTTGCATTGTTAGAAAAAAATTAAAAAAATTGTCGAATGGATCGGGACGTACAGAGTGGATGTCCGTATTTCGAGACAAAATTCTGGTTGCGGCTTTATACACTCCCGAAAATACGGTCAGTATTATTGTTTTGAGTGCAGTTCGCAGACGAGCGATGGTCAGAGGGACACGCGCGCACGTACGCATGCACACACAGCGTCTTACTCGTTTCTTTCGGCCGCGTTCCGATTGTGAAGGCCGGCGCCTGTCTCCGGTGCGGCGGTCCGGTGCGCGGCGGCGAATAGGACCACGGACCCGGGCCGTCCAGATCCCGCGCCATCGGCGGTCGCGACTCGATGCAGTCGTGCAGCGCCATTACGGGCGAGCGGCTTGGCAACACTGTAACCAAGAGAGGAAGAACAGCAATGATCAGCAAAGAGGGTGTGAATCTCTCGACCCTGAGTCGACAGCATTACATGGCTTCAACCGGAAACGAATGACACGAGATGTACTGTATTACACGGGATGTACTACATTTCCATTCACTTAATTAATCCACTGTTCTTGTTCCTTTGCCTTTGTCTTTGCCTGTACTACACGTGACGAGAAGGCTTGAAAGTATACCCGTGAAAACTCTCACGATGTTCAAGAGCCTGAAGTGTGTTCTTCTCCTCAGCACCAGTACTACTGTATTATTTTCGATTCAATGTGTTTATTTTGCCCCCGTAAAAGAGGCTCTCATGGCTAGGCTCTCACGGCTGTGAAGGCTCCGAGAGCCTCTTCTATTGGAGGTCACCATGATCAGGCACGCATACATGCTACTCACCACGGCTAAGCTACTTGAAGAAGAAAATAGTGTTAGCTCCCGGCTAAACAAACTCCCCTCGCACTCGTAGAACACAGGATTTCGTAGTATCGAATAACTATATGGAAGAAGTACTAGGCTTTAGACAAGAGAGTGCACACGAGTGAGAAGAATAACAAGAGAACTACTGCCGTAGTATAAACACACATATTACAATAGCCCTGGAGGGACTTCACTATGAGCTTGGTACCCCGTGGCCTGAATGTGTGTTATTCTCGCAGATCTGATCTCACACACAATGGCACATACCGGCTGATAGATCGTAGAGAATGTGTCCGTGCGTGTGGGAGGGTATGCTCGGAGCATTACCAGCCGGCGTATGCCTGCTGCCGCTGTGGCCAGCCCTGCAGGGTGTGGAAACGCAACAACAGTGACAGCAAAACAGCATCAGCAGCAACAACGATGATCACAACACTGACAACAACACTAACAACGAAAACGAGAGAGCTTGGAAGCTCAGGGCCCTACGCTATGCTTTTATGCTTTTTTGCCTAGCTCATCGTACATGTTATAAGAACTGATGGAATTGTCTTTTTCCGTTCATTGGCCACATCACTGTATTGCAAAAACGTTTCAATCGGTTTGAATATTATGAGTTAGGCAAAAGTATTTGCAGAATTTATTGCGGATTGTTGTTTCTCTAATAATCATCTACTTTTGTTTTGCCCCTTCTTTAATTTTTATCTCCTTATATTGGAAATCAACAAATTTTGGCCGATGAGAAACAGAAACCTCTCGATTAGAGAGGTTAAGATGCACGTTATTTCCTACGTGACGCGCAGTTTCACGTCAAATTTGAAATCGATCGGTATTTTTGCTCTCACATGCATCCATTGCTCAATCATGCATCATTTGCCTATATGACAAACGTTGGCCTGCGATTTACTTTGTCCGGTTGGTACCAAGCGGCGAAATCAGCGAAATTAAATCGCCAGCGAACATTAGTTGATTTTAATACAGGAATCGAATTTTCTGGCCTTTTTGTAGTAATACATCTACATTGACCTGTTGAGCCAATGACGACGCCGAATGCATGGTTGCCTGTGGAGCACATTACATAACTTTACAGTCTCCTAAAATACGTACGTATCCTGTCCGACGGCAAAAGAGGCTGCAGATTTAGTTTTTCTGCGCGTCGACGGGATGTCTGCGACGCGAAAGTTCAGCTCGCGTTATTTGGCTCGCACGTCGAAAAAATCAACGCGAGTGACCTGCTGCTCACGTCGAAATTTGGACATTACATAACTTTACAGTCTCGTATATAAATACGTATCCTGTTCGACGGCAAAAGAGGCTGCAGATTTAGTTTTTCTGCGCGTCGACGGGATGTCTGTCCTGACGTTTACTGGGACCGGCGCTGACTCTGCCGATCACGGCGTTCTGGACTCGACGGGATGTCTGTCCTGACGTTTCCTGGGACCGGCTTAGACTCTGCCGATCACGGGCGTTCTGGACTCAACGGGATGTCTGTCCTGACGTTGCCTGGTACCGCCGGACTCTACCGATCACGGGCGTTCTGGAGTCGACGGGATCTCTCTTCCGACGTTTCCTGTGACCGGCACTGAATCGCTCGTTCACGCTTATTTTGGAGACGACGGGATCTCTCTTCCAAAGTATGTTTATGCTGACGCATCCTATCACCTAATCGGCGTCTATTCTAATTTAATTTCCTCCTCGTCTCCCTATTTCTTTCCAAATCCCACTCTACATCAGGGAGTCGTATGCATAATACGACGAATATTGGTACGGTACGGGACAGATACAGGAGCCCGCAAATATTGTGGACAGCTGTTATGTACAATCCTGTAGAGCCTTTGTAGTCACAGATACGGGACAGATACGGGACAGATACGGGATAGCGCCAGGCGTGACACAAACAAACAAACAAACAAACACACAAACAAACAAATACCAAATTAAAGCTGTGTGGACCCTGGCTAGCGCCAGACGTTACTGAAGTAACGTCTTCTGCATAGCTACGGGAATTAAAGTTAAATTTCTTCCACGGTCGTCATGCCAGTCAGTGCACAGATGCATGCAATACCCGCACGGCATACTCCCGACAGGCATATGTTATGACTGCTCGCTGACATCTGCACATAGATTTTCGGGGGGGGGGGGGGGCTCATCTGGGTGCTATTTTTTTCTTGTCGACGATTAAAAAAAAAGTAGCGCCCAGTGACGCCAAACATAGAAATAACTTGGTGTGGCCTTACCCTAGGTAATTTCCCCCCCCCCCCCCCTCGATTATGCCACTATTCCAATAGGTCACTTTATGCCCTCCCCCCCCCCCCCCCCCCCCCATCCCGCAACCACTCCCCAAAATAGGTCACATCAACCCCGTAATTCCCATAGGTTACTTTATACCCCCCCTCCCCGCCCCTCCCCAGGGCACTTTACCCTGGCTACTACGGTTCATTCCCATACTCATCACAATTATTATCTTCGTACGTCAACAGCTGACTGCGCGCCCGCAGTCCAGCACTGTGGTAGCCGCGCGACGTGATTGGCCGATAGCGCGCCGGGAAGCTGTTGGAAAACCGCACAGACGACGGCAGGATGAACTCGTCAAATTGCGGAGCTGTAGGTAGAAAGGGTGTGGAACAAAATTTATGCATTTCAATATGGAAATTGTGCAGAAGTAGTGCGGGGTCCCATTTCGGAAAACAGTCATATTTTAGAAGTTTCGTGGCAAGTAGGAGCTCACAAATGTTTTAGAGCTGTTTCTGACTAAGTTGTGAAAGGGTTAAAGCACGTTAACATGACTATCATGCTGGAGAGAAGAGGAAGAGTTGGGGGAAGGGGATCGTAATATAGTGTACAAGGTTTAGTATACGCAGCTCTTACAGTTGATTTGACAGCGGAATGGCGTGCGCGCCTGCCGTGAAGGAGCGGGCTCAATGGGAACAAATCCTCGTCCATCGACCTCGTCATCGTCATCAATGAAGTCATCGAGATCATCCTCGCAGTTCTCGGCAAACGCGATGACTCGCACTCGGTTCCCGGAGCGTGTGTCGCTGGCCGGTGATTGGTCGGCGTCGCCCGCGCTGCCACCCTCGTCTTCGTGATCCTCGGCAACACCATGGCTCTCGTGACCATGGTTATGACCAATGGGCAGCTGAATGGCAGCATCACCTGTGTGTAGATAGGCACAGTAAGACAGTTCATGGTGAAAAAAGGAGAAGGACAAAATGTTACGAGTTATGACTAACTGTCCACCAACGTAACCAGGTCTTATACAGTCAGCGAGTGCGACACAATCCTTTTTTCACCATAATTTAATTGGCTCACCATCCGAGTGGAATTAAGACAGTTCAATACACACTTACGTATACAATAAATGAGGAGGCCGAGGGTTTATGACCAATAAAAACTATTATAAAAACCGAGGTCCCCCGAGGTTTTTATAATTAGTTTTTATTGGTCATAAACCCAAGGCCGGAGCATTTATTGTATTTAGAATCAACCAGTAAAAACTCCTACTCAATCTCCAACAACAAAATTAGCGGACAGCTGTTATTTGTGTTGCTATGACAACCCGTGTGCTGGACGAGTATTTGTTGTCATTGGTTCAATTTCTTTTAGTCTTCATAGGCTATCAGATCATTTTCCTTATTCGGTCTATTTATAACCAGTATCTATAATGAGAGTGTGGTCTGTCTCCATGGTTACCGGTGTTCATTTCATAACTATAGCCACTGCTCCTTGTTAGACCTTATCTGGAAGGCCCATTCTTGCATATTCCAACAGCAGCCAAGGGAGCTAGCTCTCTTGGTTATGCGGATTGGGTCCGATCCTAAAAAGCTGTTTTTATGAACTGTTTTTATGAACTGTTTTTATGAACTGTTTTTATGAACTGTTTTTATTGGATAGGATATGATTATGTTCAATAAACGAGGTTTGTGTCAATGGGAGATTGACTTGGAGTTTTTACGAGTTGATTGTAAATGGATATAATAATCCTGCTACGGGATGGAAGTAAAGTACAGGCCATCCCCTGTACATACGTGCCAACAGTTTTCTTTAAAAAAAAGAGGTTTTATTGCATTCTTGAAAAAAAAAGACAAGGTAAAATTAATAATAATGCAATGAATGCGCACTCATATCACAACCATGGGGACGAATAATGTATTCCAGAACGTTTTCTTGTCACAATTATCAATGGAATTCGTGACTAAAGAGAATGATGAAACTACAATAGGATTTATACGCTTGGAGTGAAACAGTGAGGATACAAGCATAGTAAGAAAAATAGCACAAACCTAGGAACAATTTGCACAGGTAATAAACAATAGGTGAGGTGAGAAATGATAGGAAATTCAGCAAGTGCAGTGTGACAATGGACATGCATGTACAACAAACAAACAAAAAGAAAACGTCACCGCACTTACGCTATTCCAGTAAATTCGCACTCACACACACTTGCACATGCATGTCCATTGTCACACTGCACTTGCTGAATTTCCTATCATTTCTCACCTATAGTTTATTACCTGTGCAAATTGTTCCTAGGTTTGTGCTATTTTTCTTACTATGCTTGTATCCTCGCTGTTTCACTCCAAGTGTATAAATCCTATTGTAGTTTCATCATTCTCTTTAGTCACGAATTCCATTGATAATTGTGACAAGAAAACGTTCTGGAATACATTATTCGTCCCCATGGTTGTGATATGAGTGCGCATTTAGTTATATTCATTGCATTATAAAGATTATTGTCTCCACGTCGCCTTTTTAAATAATAATAATAATAATACATTTTAAGAAAGGTTTGCTCCCCACACCGGAGCTCGCGCTATTCCGCCGACTTTACTTGACACTTGACTGACTCACGACTGCCATCCAGAGCACACGAGAAGTCCATCGAACCTTCGACTCGGCAAACCTGCAAGAAAGCACCACTCCCTGCTCAATACACAGTGTTTCGGGGAATTCACCCCTCATCAGTTGAGCTTGAGTAGGCCGAGGAAGATTGTGCCTGAAGAGCACCACTTATATAGTGCTCTCCAGGCACAAACATCACCAGGGATACAAACTTACAGAGACGCTCCGCTTCCAGCGCGACAAACACCTCGTGAACACCAGATAGTAGCGTGAGTCAGTGTCGCTCCTGGACGGTGAGACAGACGTCGAGGCCCCTCGGTCATTCGCAACGCTGTCACCTCCAAACCAACTAGTCGCAAGCCCGCGCGTCTAGCTCTGTAAGTTTCTATCCCTGGTGATGTTTGTGCCTGGAGAGCAATATATAAGTGGTGCTCTTCAGGCACAATCTTCCTCGGCCTACTCAAGCTCAACTGATGAGGGGTGAATTCCCCGAAACACTGTGTATTGAGCAGGGAGTGGTGCTTTCTTGCAGGTTTGCCGAGTCGAAGGTTCGATGGACTTCTCGTGTGCTCGGGATGGCAGTCGCGAGTCAGTCAAGTGTCAAGTAAAGTCGGCGGAATAGCGCGAGCTCCGGTGTGGGGAGCAAACCTTTCTTACAAATCATCGCCGAAGTCGCAACCACTACTTCGTAATAATACATTTTAGTTAATTAATACATGTATTACTTTTTTTAAAGAAAAAGAAAAAAAGTAAAGCACAGGACTGCCGGAAGCAGTTTTCAATTGGTCCGGTCGTACCATAGCCTTTCATACTGTGTGTACAGGCAAAATCCTGATAATTCGAATATGGCTTAATTTACGTAGTCAAGTGGTGTGCTTCATTGTCCGAAGAGTGCTCAATACCCATGTAGGGCAGAGACTTGTACACAAGAGAGAGATTGGAAGCTTTGTTACAACTCTGAGTTTCACGTATTACTACGATCATCAGGCAACTGATCAAAGAGATTGGAAGCTTTGTTACTAGTGTAGAAACGAATATACCGAATATTCGTTCGGTTTGTCACATTCGAACGAATATTTCTCATGGCGAATATTCGCTATTAAACCGGGTATGCAGAGTTTACCGGGCGACTTCAAACCGTAACTTAGCGAATACTTGACCGAACCGCTTCATCGAAAGTTCCATCGGCATTAGAAAACTCTCAGCTGTCGTCTCGAAGCAACCCGGACGCTATCCCAGGTCCTGGAATGGAGTTATGGCGGTCGGACGAAAAATCACGTCTCGAGCTGTTTTTTGAGCGTGTAAAATGCACTTCAGCTGGGGATTTTGTGAAAATTGACCTAGAAATGGTGGAGAAATATGTGCCTTCGTTTGTCAAGCCTAATAATAGTGACAATATCCAACAAAATGACTGAGAGGAGGGCGTGTGATGTCATCCGTGTTAACGAAAGAATATTCGTTCGTTCGTTCGTTAATTAAGCCAAAGAATATTCGGCTACTGGGTTTTGATATTCGTTTCACCACTATTTGTTACGACTAGTAATACGTGAAACTCAGAGTTGTAACAAAGCTTCCAATCTCTCTCTTGTGTATGGCTTAATTTAGTTTTATTCCCGTAGCTATGCAGAAGACGTCACTTCAGTAACGTCTGGCGCTAGCCAGGGTCCACACAGCTTTAATTTGGTGTTTGTTTGTTTGTGTCACGCCTGGCGCTATCCCGTATCTGTCCCGTACCGTACCGTACCATCAAAGACAGCTGGCAACAAACAGCTGGCCACAATATTCAAATAGGGCTTTCAAATGCAAGATCATAACGTGAAGCAACTTGGAAGAATGAGTATGAATGCGAAGTGTATCGGGGAATCATCCGAATGCATGTAGGGCGATAGTGCGGATTCGAATCCCCGGTTATGCCTTGAAAAAAATTGGCGAAATGAAAATTTTATAACATCCCTATGCGTTTTTTGGCCTAGATCATCAAGGTGGTAGACGGTGTCATATTACCCTCGACCGTACCTGTCCCGTACCGTACCATCAAAGACGGCTGGCCACAAACAGCTGGCCACAATATTCAAATAGGGCTTTCAAATGCAAGATCATAACGTGAAGCAACTTCGAAGAATTAGTATGTATGCGAAGTGTATCGGGAGATGCATGCAGGGCGATAGTGCGGGTTCGAATCCCAGGTTATGTGTTGAAAAAAAAATAGGCTAAATGAAAAATTTATAACATCCCTATGCTTTTTTTGCCTAGGTCATCAAGGCAAAAAGCATAGCGTAGGGCCCTGAGCTTCCAAGCTCTCTCGTTTGGTTTTTTTTTTTTTTTGTGCCATCGGCATGCCTGGCGCTATCCCGAACCTGTCCCGTACTTGTCCCGTACCGTAACATCAAAGACAGCATCGGCATACCTGGCGCTATCCCGTACCTGTCCCGTACCGTACAATCAAGGACAGCATCGTCATGCCTGATGCTATCCCGTACCGTACCATCAAAGACAGCTGGCCACAATAATTTTTTTCCGGAAAGAACAGAAAATCCGCAAGAAAGTTGGGCTTGTCTCTAGCCTGTCGCATTTATAAACGATAATCGTGTGGCGCTAAATGTGCACCAAATAATAAGTAATAGTTAAATTAATGATAATAAAGCCGAGCGAAAAAAAACAAGAAATCATAACAAAAGAAATAAACTAATAATAAGAAAAAAGAATAATAATGGGGGAACTCTCACGATTGCAGGAGTCTGTTCAAGGAGGATCATTCACATATCGGAGCCTAGCCTCGGCGACCACGAGATCTACCGGAGCAGCTGTGACGGAGGGAGGGAAGATGGGACGACGAGCTCCACGTAGGCAGGCAGTGCAGGCACGAAGAAGCGCAAAGCTTACCCGGCAGCGGATAAAATGCCATTACCCTGGAGTAGGGGTCCTGGCACTTTTCCGATAGCATGTCAGCAATGCGCTTGTACAGCGATGTCGCTGACTTCCCCATGCCTCCAGATGTGGAGGGAACGACAGGGCAGAAGGAGCCATGCTCGACTTGCTCTTCAAATAGGGCTTTAATGCAAGATCATAACGTGAAGAAACTTGGAAGAATGAGTATGTATGCGAAGTCTATCGGGGGAATGCATGCAGCGCAGGGCGATAGTGCGGGTTCGAATTCTAGGAGAAATGAAAATTGTATAACATCCCTATGCGTTTTTTGCCTAGGTCATCAAGGTGGTAGACGGTATCGTATTACCCTCGAATGCAAAGAGAAAGTTGATTCTCGTTAGGCAAAAAAGCATAGCGTAGGGCCCTGAGCTCCCAAGCTCTCTCGTTTAGAACATACTGCTTACTTAGAAGTCTCTTCCAGGACCGATTTCTGTCAATACGATTTCCACATAACAATTTCTGATAATTAGAAACTCGAACTGGGTATGTCCGGTTAATTAGAAGTCCCACGGAATCCACTTACATAGAAAATGTGTGGGCTTTGAGCTGAAAATTCGAAGTTAGCACACCATAATTAGAAGCTCACTTTATTTTCTGCAAATCAGTTTGGTTTGCATGCGCAGGCAGTTCAGTGTCCACTAAATCTGTGTCTAAGGTGTGTAGTGCTATACTGCGTGTCAATGCGAGCATTTCGACATACATAATGTGTTGTGGGTACATGTTTGGATAATTAGAATGTCCGGATACCGTCAAACCTCTTTAGGACGAACACCAAGGGACTGATAGTATTTGTTCGTAATAACGGGAGTTCTTCTTATCCATATTTTATACCCAGTGAATACACAGTGATCTATCCAATACAGTCATGGATACTAGTTCTTTTAACGCGAAAGTTTGTCTTATCAGTGTTCTTCTAACGAGGTTTCACTGTTATTAGAAGTTTTTCCCCGGCATTTTGGTGTTCAAATTATCAGGATTCCACCTGTATAATACATGTACATGTATGGCAGGGGACAGTACACCCTCCTTAGCAGCAAGCAGGCGTGGGTAGCCACAAAGTTGGTCCGGTGTTAACCTGACCAACCGGACCAGTTCAGGCAGGCCTGAAGTACCCTGGACGTAACGTACTTTAGGAGTTTGCAATTTGGAACATTGTATGGGTTCATCAGCTGTGCCATTCTACGCCATTCTACGGGTAACAGCAAGAGTGCATAAACAAGAGTATGCAACTGTGGTTATGGCCCAGTGCGCGGCGCGCTGCCTTCATTACGTAACTTGCCTTCATCACGCTCTGAAAGCATGCATTCAAACTCACAATTTCTCGTACGAGCCCATCTGTTTTTGCTCGATTCGTTCCAGTACCTAAGCGCTCTCTGAATTCTGGCGCGTGAACTCCAGTTCCGTACGAAAGTTCATTTCAAACCAGAGGGAAAGTGCGGTGTTTGATTTTCCGCAGTGCGCGGACTCCAGCTGAATGATGTAATGAAGGCAGCGCGCCGCGCATCTGGCCCATAGAAAAAGAGATCACAGTTGCATACTCTTGTTTATGGACTCTCGGTAACAGCACATAAGAGTGCATTATATTTCCAGCGGCAGCACACAAGAATGCAGTACGTCCATTGACATGACGTGCATACTCTTTGGACATTTGGTCCCAAGTCAGCACATCGTTGCACGCACAGCTTTTTACTCTATCAACACAGACAGTTATTGTTTTGCGAACAACAACAATTTCGAAGATTCATTTCTCACCTGCCTCATGGTCTGCGTTCGTATCTTCTTGCTCATTCAAGTCATTGGTTTGATCTTCGCTCGCCCGTCGCTGGGTAGCCGCAGAGCTTCGTGCTTCGGCTCGGCAAAGCTCCTGCTCATCGCTGCTACCGCCGGAGCGGCTGTGCTCCGCTGGTGTCGCATCGCTAGACGCCGGTGCAGGTACAGCAGTTGGGGCGCTGTCGGACGTCTCGCCGCCTGGACCTTCTTCGCTAGTCGGCATGGCTGGTCCTGCCTGGATATCTCGCTTTTACAATTTTGTAGAGGAGATTATGCAGCGCACAGTGTTTGAAGCTATGTAACTGCTGACTCGAGTCAATGCGTATTATAGGTTGTGCGAACTCTTGCGCGGCAAACTGATTGCGTTAGCGCCAGCGTGCCGAGACGAACATGTGTCCCCTGCCCAGCACTGTGTGGTGGTGGGCTACGGTCGATGGGTTGTGCTTCACACATACAGCCGCCAGCATTTGACCATGTACCAGGCGATCGGATAAATGAAAAATGAAGGCTAGGCCGGGAGCAGGAAGCGCTTCAAGCCGGCCTTGCTATCGCCACACAGAGTACCGGCCCTTTGCTGCCAAAGGAAACCGTAGTGCATGAAATCTCCGCTGTCTCGAACGCCCAGAACTAACTACTTTAGAAGTATTGGTTCTGTGTAATACTCATTGCCCGAAGCAGCTTTGTTGTTCTTTTCTTTCCACATGTATGATGTAGACCCACCTACATGTACATGTAGTACCTCACAACAGTAAGTGACACCTACCCGCGAACCAGTCAGTGCTCACACTCAGATCAGACCAGGGCTTCGGGTGTGTGTGGAATGCGAAAAGGAGGCGGAGGTCGACTCTATGATTTTTATGTCTACATTCTGTAGAGTCTCTACACAACACATCGCGAAAAAATGTTCGATGGAGTAATCATGGTAATCATGGTGATGGAGAACCAAGTCAAGACTCAAGGGCTATTATATTAGCTGTCCCTGCGGGAATTTGCGGAAAAAGTCATCGAAAACTTGCGCAAGAAAGTGCGGCAGAAAACAACAAAAAATGCGAAAAGTGCGGAAAGATGCGGAACTTTCCAGGAACTCGCGGAATTATTGGCAGGAAATTGCGGATTTGGGCCAAATCACGAAATTTGTTGCATCATTAGAATCACTATTTGCGTACTGTGCAAATAACCCACGTACATGATCATAGAAAGCACTGTATACTGCGTGAAAAGTGCAGAAAAATGTAAAAAGAAGTGCTGAGAAAACAACAAAAACGCGGGAAATCGGGGACTTTTCAGAAATTTGCGGGTTTTGGCCAAAATCGCGAAATTTGTTGCATCCGTGGAATCGCGATTTCCTGGAGGGACAGTATTAGTATTATAGTCTAGATGGTGTTGTTTGACAAACCTTGTCAGCTGCTACTGGCAGTACTGCATGGATCCTACACTGAGCTGCGTGGATGACATTATGCATTTATGGCCATCACTGCCATCAGTCCATCAACGCCTGGTGTGACATGCTATCACTGATGACATTGTTTGCATGGTCGTGAAAGCTTTCACAAATCACGACCCTTCGATTCCTCTTGCACAGAGTCAGTACTTTCATTTGTAGCCATACAGAAATGGTGCGAAAATGTTATAAACCGCTTTGCCAGGCGCTAGGCAAAGTCATGTAGATCTATAGTACAATGTACATACAAAAGAGGCTGGATGTTGAGACTGAAGTCCCAGTATCGTGGCGACCATGGCGATGAGGGTCAGGCAATTGCCTGTTGATTGCCGCAAGTTTCCAGGACAATTATTTCTAGCACTGCTGCATACCACCTTACAGCAATGCACATATTGCTGTTATCATCTCTACTACAATTGTAGGACCGCTATCAAAAGGTTTTAGCACCCGAGTTCAAAGTCTTAGGGGGCGTTCGTCAACAGTACTGTTCGAGCAAATCTAGAGTTTTCCAGTGGAATTGTCATGGCGATAATGACGTCCGATCAGATCGACCATCTCGACGTACGGTCGTACACGTGACGTAGCTATTCCAAACTCTTCAGAACTAATCAACCTCTCCCATCGGATGAGGTTGTGGGGTTTCAAGGAGTTTCGTTTTTCTGAAGAGGCCAAAAACTTATAAGGCCACCTCTTCAGAAAAACGAGACTCCTCGAAAAGTCAAAAAGTGACAATTCGAACGCGCCCTTACCTATAGGACAGGCCACACCGATTCTTCATTATGTTCTATGTTATCCGGCTGCACATTGATAATCTTTGTGGAGCGCTGGAGCGAGACAGCTGTCTGGAGGACCTGCATGCAGCGCAGTATCAGCATCTGATTTAAATCTATCATTGGCATTCAGTGAGCACTCTAGCAGGGCTAGGCACACTGCCTCTGTGATTTAAATCTGAACGGAACTGACCTTCTGACTATGGTGTTCGTGCACACTGGCGTGGAGCGGCGGGAGCACATTGCAGAATCGGGTGCAGGGATGGATTGTGATTACAAGTGCTTTTAAAACCTGCGCTGATGTTTTTGGCAGCACGACCAACCATGCAGCAGCTCGAAGTCGAAGTTCTGTTGCCGCTGGCTCTGCGCGATGTCCAATGCACCTTGAACTTGTGTTGTGACTCATGAAGTTCTCATGCTTTCGGGCTGGCCCCTATTCGCAGCTGGAGATCTTATTCCTTCGTTTCTTCCACGTGCATTCTTTCTTCCTGTCTGTCTCAGTCTGTATGTCCACCTGTTCACCCGTCTGTCCACCCAACCTTCCGGGATCCGTCCAACAAGCGGCAAGGGCCGCGGACCACTCTACATAATTTGCACAGCAGGTCATGCACCTCAGCATGGCTGCATGAGCGCTGTAGGCGGTTACCATGTAACTAACTTGTTACGTCCAGCGGACCTCATCATAACATTATCATGACGTAACTCGTCCCAGCATGAATCATAGCAAAGCCAACGCCAGCAGCTAGGTGATAGAATGTGTGCCATCAAAGGGACCATGTATGCAGAAACACTGCTGTTCTGGCTGACAGGCATAGCAAAGCCAAGCAGACCAGGATGTATTCGGTGTTGCTGCCATCATGGGTCTATCACTCGTGACTCATACTGATAGGACCCATACTGGGCTATTGGCCATACTTCAAAGCCTCCGTCGATCTGGTCATGCAGCATACCACAACTCACAAGGGCATCTGCGACACAGTCAGCCAGCATTGTACCTTCCAGAGCAAAGTCACTGATTTTTACGGTCCTGTCCAGTTCACGTGGAATAGCCAGCTGCTCAGCACAAAACCACAGAGCCAGTGATGGCGGTATCGGACTACAACCATGACATGCACCATGTGCACTGCTGCATGCATCGGAGTGCATGGCTAGTGAAACTCACACTTTTTGTAAACGCTACCGGTATACCCGTATACCCCCGTACTGGCCGTAGCCTAGGCCACTAGGGTCTACCGTGCATGCGGCTGCTGCAGGCATGACAACACCGCACTACTTCTACTACTAGTAGTACTACCGGTACTAGCGAGTGCTACTGCTAGCGGCTGCGTGACATCTGCAATGATCTAGCTCACAGTGAGTCACACTCGTATTCGCTGTTCGTAACCACCACCAACATAATGTTGTTGTTGTTACATCCTCCCCATACTGCGCGTTGCCACACGGTGTCCGCGCCACGGCTATCACAGTGTATCGGCACGCCTGGAGCAGAAACAAAAATTATCATGACGAGCCGAAATAACGGACGACATAATTCATGATTGCACTTCCAATTCCGCAGTGCAGTGCATGCAGTTGAGCACCTGGCCGCTAGTTCACAACAACGCCTGGACGTTTTCGAATGCTGGGTGCGACATGGCACACACTATTGTTGAACGATCGTGAATACATGTAGCAACATTTCCAGGCAACATCGAGAACCCAAACGGCCAAAGACAAGTCGGTTGGTCGTCAATGGTCGACCATGCAATGCATGCACAACCGCTACTCAGTATCTAGTACATGTACGAGTACTACAGTACTAGTACTCAGGGTACTCGATCACTACGTATACGTAACGACGTTACGTTGACAGTGCTCGTACTGACTTGCTAGCGATGGTCCACTATTTTTACAACTCCCCGCCGCGCGATGACAATGTCATTGTGCCAATTAATTATTTTTGGATAGAAGACCTTGACTTGACTTGAGTCTGTGGGGATTGCCCTATCAAAATAATATTTATGAATAAATAAATAAATATAGCTATGAATAGGATGAAGGCCGCAGACATCACGCAACTACGTTACTTGTTTGACATGTATTACTGTGTATTTTATAACAAAAATATTATTGGAAACCCAGAATCGATTTTCTCGTTCCTATCATCAGTGGGAAAAACGGAACTAAGGATACAACCAAAGAAACTGAAGTTAAGTACTGTAAATAGAAAGGTGTTAGAAATAACATCAAGATACAAGTGCAATAAAACCACTAGAGGAAACGCAAGAAAGGTAACAAGATTACATAACCAAAGGCGAGAAGGCACTGAACGAAGTGTCAACCTACGAATACAACTTCAGTGCAACAATGTGCTCTTTCTGCTTACACAAAACAGGCTTATGAATACGTATACAAACTGCCTCTAGGACTTTCAACTGTTGGACATAACGCGCACGACACAGTACAGAAAAATGAGAGTCATCATACACACCAAGACAGTCAGGACGAGATAACAAGTGTAGATACACAGCTGACTTCTTACGATCAACACATTCATCCGCCTCATCTCGCTCCTTCCCACCCGACTCCTCCTCGTCCATCTCCTCGTCCTCCTCCTCGTTCCGCTCGTCATCCTCACGATCATCATCACCGCCATCATCTGCCTCGTCCTCTGTCTCCTCACCACCCGTTTCGTCATCCAATTCCTCTTCCATCCTCTGATCATCCGTCCCATCCTCCATTTCAGTACAGACCACTTGTCTCCCGTTTGCTAGCTGCTCGTCCCGTGAGCGGAGTTGTTCCTCCAGATCCACTTCACTAACTGACTCATGATACTGCTCGACCCTCCTCCTGTTGGTACTGTCCACAACGCGCGGTCCCTGGCCGTTTCTGGCATACATGTAGATCTCTGTGCAGTAGTTTGCTGTTGCCCTCCGAGGTCTTTGGATTAATGTGGGCGGCGTGGCAATTCGTGTGAGAGTTGGTGATGCCAGCGCGAGTGTAGGTGGGTCCACCCCAGCCCCCGCCACAAGAAGAGCCGGTGGCGGTTCTGGTGGTGGCAAGGGCGACGGTGGTGCTGCTGGAGTTGGCAACTTGGGCAGCCTAGCTCTCCCACACGGCACCGCATTCTGTGTTGGCTCAGTCCGTACCACTGGCACAGGGGGTGGGTTCTTGAGCGGTCGGCCACGCTTCGGCCGCTTGGATTTAGCTGCATCCGGTAGAATATGCAGCGGTACATGCTGTTTGATACGTGCGGTCAGGTGTTGAAGGAACAACTCCGCTCACGGGACGAGCAGCTAGCAAACGGGAGACAAGTGGTCTGTACTGAAACGGAGGATGGGACGGATGATCAGAGGATGGAAGAGGAATTGGATGACGAAACGGGTGGTGAGGAGACAGAGGACGAGGCAGATGATGGTGGTGATGATGATCGTGGGGATGACGAGCGGAACGAGGAGGAGGACGAGGAGATGGACGAGGAGGAGTCGGGTGGGAAGGAGCGAGATGAGGCGGATGAATGTGTTGATCGTAAGAAGTCAGCTGTGTATCTACACTTGTTATCTCGTCCTGACTGTCTTGGTGTGTATGATGACTCTCATTTTTCTGTACTGTGTCGTGCGCGTTATGTCCAACAGTTGAAAGTCCTAGAGGCAGTTTGTATACGTATTCATAAGCCTGTTTTGTGTAAGCAGAAAGAGCACATTGTTGCACTGAAGTTGTATTCGTAGGTTGACACTTCGTTCAGTGCCTTCTCGCCTTTGGTTATGTAATCTTGTTACCTTTCTTGCGTTTCCTCTAGTGGTTTTATTGCACTTGTATCTTGATGTTATTTCTAACACCTTTCTATTTACAGTACTTAACTTCAGTTTCTTTGGTTGTATCCTTAGTTCCGTTTTTTCCCACTGATGATAGGAACGAGAAAATCGATTCTGGGTTTCCAATAATATTTTTGTTATAAAATACACAGTAATACATGTCAAACAAGTAACGTAGTTGCGTGATGTCTGCGGCCTTCATCCTATTCATAGCTATATTAAAATTATTATCTCCACGTACGTAGGTTATTTGTATAAATAAATAAATAAATTCGTGGATCGTGCGTCCGGCATATGACGTTATCTGGTTATGTATGTCATAGTCATAACGTCATGCCAGGACGCACGTGCACGCTCAACTTCCCTCAAAGCCACGTGCATGCCGAGTATGGCATCTTGTGCGTAGAGCTACGCGCGTTGGCCTTGACGTGTGCAAAACTGCAGTGCAGATGTGCCACATCGGCACATGTCACATAGCACTCAAAATTCGCAATCTCATCCGTCGCGTAGTACACGTCCACATCGTGTGCTCACGCCTTTTTCGGCGCATTCCGCCAGGCGAGCCTGGAAACTTCCAGCATTCGAATGAAGTGAGCTTTATCTTGCAGCACCTCTTCTCTATTCTGTATCAGTTTGTTGTCTTTCTTGTCTTGAGAGTGTCCACTGCCCTGCTCTTTGGAACAACAAATAAACACACCTGTGGAATTATCAACACGTTCCACCAAACTGTAAAAACGCCAGAGTTGGACGTTGTTCGGTGTAATTTCCTTGTCACAAGCTAGTAATTTTTAGATAGAGGTTTTGGAAAATTCTCTTATCTCATCCCGGTGGACTCGCGTCGATCCGGCTGTCTGAATGGGTCTGCTGGACGGCGGCTCGCCGCTGTCGTGGGCCGAGACGAAGAAGAATGCTGACCTGATCAGAGAGACCGGCATCAAGCAGTTCCTGTCGCTCTACGAACGCTTCCAGGGCCTAACCGATGACTGTCTGAAATGGGGCGACGAGGTATGTGATACCAGAAGCTTACAATACATTCATATTTCAATTATTATTTTTGAATACTGAGTAGTAGCAGAAATTGATTTGTATTAATAAATGGTGCCAATAAACTTTTTTCTTATCAATTTTTGCAAGGACGCTGAACATTTTGATCACATGACACTCCATGTACACATATTGGCGATTTAGGTTTCTATGATGGGTCTAGTACTGTGTGTAGCACACATGGTGATGTCGCTGGCAGTTGGAGCGTAAAATGTGCTTCATAACCTGGCTTCGTCTCGAACGTAGAACAGAAGGGGGGGGGGGGGGGGGGGGCAGGTCCAGTTGGTCAGGTCATGGCCGTGCCCACTCTTTGGCCACCAACGGGGGTAACTGCTGAAGCGGTCACGTGTACCCACCATGTCATACCCAAACTGTGTGAACAACGGCTGTGGTATGACCGGACCAATCAACAACTGCGTCCGTCGGTCCTGAATGTTGGACTTGAACAGCTTAGTAGTAGTAGTAGTAGTAGTAGTAGTAGTCGTAGCATTCTTTTATTTTCCATCGGAAGCCTCAACAGTGATGAACACAACTCTTAAGAGGGCCGATAACAGAGTAGAGGGGTGTGGGTGGAGAAAAAAATAAGAATAAAAAAAATCAAGATAGCTTAGGCCGCATTCACACACAGTGCAAAAACTCTCGTGGAAATCCTCGTGCAAGCCACTTGCAACAAGTATGCGTTCACACAGGAAATGCAGTTGCATGCCATACACGTAAAAAAAGTGGCTCACGTGACCAGATATCCATTGTGAGGCGCGGCAACTTTGAAGTTTTGCGCCCAAACTAGTACATGTGATTTTCACGTTTTGCGCATGTTCCTATGGGCACTTCGAAGAACATGACGCATGCGCGTGGTTTTGTACCGTGTGTGAATGCAGTCTTATCTACTCGTGGCATCACGTGTGCGTGTGTGTGTGTGGGCGGTGTGATGACAGCCGTATTGATACGTTTTGAGCGATTTGTGGGGATCTCCCGGTGACATCTCAAAGACCGAAAGCGACGAGGTGGATTGCTCGCGTCTCGCACAAGTTGAAAGTACAGTTGTTTTCTTCGGTCTACATTGACGATGAGTCCACTCATACATGTCCAGTCATACCTCGGTTATCCGGACCCCGAAGTTACGAACTTACGCGCATTCCGGTCTGCCGGGCACCCTTCGGGCGAGTTCTAGTGGAAATATTACTACTCTTTTGTCACTTTTTCTGGAAATGGTGACGCCATATGCCACATCTACGGCCTTTCCCCATCAAAATGTATGTGATTCGGAGTTGTGTACATTTCAAAGTTACGTGCAGTGCCCGGTCCCGGACTGCCCGGATAAACAAGGTATGATTGCATCCATAATTTGAGGGAATGCAAAGGGAGAAAATCCAAAGAAAAACTTGACTGTCACCACCGGAATGAATGTCAGTGACATTTGTAAACGGGAGGACAAGAATGTTACGAGTTATGACTAACTGTCCATCAATGTAACCAGATCTTATACAGTCAGCTAGTGCGACAAAATCCGAGTGACATTTGTATCTTGTTTTTAGATTGAATTCACGGTGGTTCACTTTGACCACGACAAGAAGACAGCCCAGGTGCAGCTGACCGACCCAGCCCTACTGGAGCGCTTGCAGCAAGCGGAGAATGCCGACCCAGGGTGAGTTGTCGCGTGTACTTGTGTGTGTGTGTGCGCGCGCGCGCGCGCGCGAGCGTGTGTATATGTGTCTGCACGTGTGTGTGTGTGCGTGCGTGTGTGTGTGCGTGTACGTTAGGTCATGTACGTGTCATCTCCACATAGGCCTGTGGAGGTTGACATTCTGACCGGAACTATGATACTAGTTCAGATTGTCCCAGGTATGTCTCCTGTTGCAGTTTAGGGTTCAGTGGCAGTGCTGCTGATGGTGATGGTGATGTTCCTTGTATTGCTGCTGCTGCTGGTGGTGCTGCTGCTGGTGGTGCTGCTGGTGGTGCTGCTGGTGCTGCTGGTGGTGGTGGTGGTGTTTATGGTGGTGTTCATGGTGGTGTTCCTGGCACCGCTGCTTCTGCCAGCTCTGTTGAGGTTGGTGGTAGGGTTGGTGGTGATGGTTGTGTGTGATTGAAAATCAGCTCTCTGTGCCTGTGTGATTTTGTGTTTGGATTTTTAAGACCCTGTGTCAACTTGCATGCCAGTCGATTTTCGTGGTGCTTATAAATATAAGAAAGTATAATGTGAATTCCCGTGCATGATGTGAAAGAATCCCCATGCATGATGTGAATCCCCATGCATGATGTGAATCTCCATGCACAGGAATTCTCCGACAGCCTGGAGGCCTGAGTATGGCAGCTTTATGCTGGAAGGTAAATCTGCCATCAAGTATACCGTATGCCTTTTTATGATCAAGATATTCAACATGTTCTGCAGACTTCACCATAGCTCAGTGGTTAGAGCATCGCTGGCCTTAAGCGAAGGTCCCTGGTTCCAGTCCTGGTGGTGACAGTCAATGTTTTCTTCGGACGCTTCCCCTTTCTGTAGTGATGCTTTATGCACTCACCTTATTTAGTGTACATGTTACCCATGTAGGGGTTACCCACACATCCAGAGTGCGTGACCTACAAAAAAATTTGCAGTGACCCTAACTGAGCCTACCTGATCTTGCCACATGTGTGCCAGTGTGCGTGCGTATCGGAGCCCAGCCTTTCTGCAATGCTCTTGCGGATTTCCTTTCTCGACGTGCAGCCTTCTTTCTCCCTTGCTGGCGTCATTGCTCGTGAACGGTTCTTTGCACGTTTTTCTGTGTGTGTGTGTGTGTGTGAGCGCGCTCGCGCGCGTGTGTGTGTGTGTCTGTGTGTGTGCTGGCTCTGCCACTCTCTGCATACCTGGCATCATGTTCTGGCTGTCAGCTACCCCAGGCAAGCCATTCGGCGGGGCCACGGGGGACTTCAACGAGATCGAGCCCAACATGAAACTTCGGTGAGTACTGCGGGGTCTTCTATTCACATTCCATGATCTCGCTAACTCGCGCCGTCTTCTTATCGGTCAGCAATTATTTCCCCTGCTCTGTAGGTTGTTAACACCTGCTAGGTGGTGCTAGTGCTGGTGCTGGTGCTGCTGTAGAAACAGTCTGATCACATACGGGTACAGTCAGACCTCGCATAACCGCACACATCCGTTTTCAACAAAAAATATCCGGACAGGCGAGGGAACCGATAATCGAACACACATACTGTATGTATGCATGACGTATGCTGTAAATCGGTAACCAACGATTTTCTCCCGAATGGCGAGGGATCCGGATAAAAGAGGACCGGATAAGCGAGGTCTGACTGTATCAATAGTCTTTCTGTTTCAGGTGTTTTTCGGCAAAGAGTGCATGGGCTGTGAAGATGTTTGGATTGAAGGAAAAAATTGATATGTGAATTGGTGCAGTTGAGAATATTTCGAAAGTTTCTCGTGCCTTTCGTATTTGTTTGTTTTCTGTCAGTATCTGCCTTTGTGTGTGTGTGTGTGTGTGTGTGTGTGTGTGTGTTCATGTGTGTGTGTCTGTGTGCATGTGTGTATGTGTGTGTTTGTGTTTTGTGTGTGTCTGTGTGTACATGGTGTGTGTGTCTGTGTGGATGTGTGTGTTTGTGTGTGTGCGCGCGCGCGCGTGCATGATCGCTCACGTGCACATTTTCATGTATGTCCTTGTGCGTTTGTCTGCGTGCATCACAGGCATAAAGAGCTGAATGAGATGCTGGCACACAACACTCGTTGCATGAATATCACATGCTTCCCACGGTAAGTCTTTCACATATACTGTAAGTCTTTCACACAATATTTTACTGTAAGGGGTCGTCCACAAATATCGATGTTTTTTTAGAGAAGATATTCGTTCGTTTGGGGGGGAGGGGGTTTGGGCCCTGTTCGTCTCGTCTTTGCAGAAAAAATATCGAACTCTATCTATGGACGGGCGCTGTTCGAACATGTAGTTTATGACCTACACAAAGTGAAAGTCAACCTCGTGAGCATAGCCATGGCAAGGTTGTGCGACCGTGGCAACATAAACCTAGGTGTACGGTGAAATTAGAGTGGCAGCTGGTCACGTTTCATGAGGAAATTGAACTTCATTAAAAAATATCGATCCCTTGCATAAACATGTGTATGTTCGTTTTTGGGGGGGGGGGGGGGGGGGGGGGAGGGGGTCTGGGGAGAAATGAACAAATGTCGTCTTGAAAAAAAACATCGATATTTACGGACGGCCCCTAAATCTACTTTTAAGTACAAATTTCGGCCTCCCGGGGCTAAAACACATTTCGGCCCCATTACATTTTCCGCCTGTATTGCTGCTGCCTGTATACACAGTCACACTGAACATTGCAAAACAAAATTTCGGGTGCAACAAAATTTCGGCCAAAAATGCCCCGGCCGAAAATAAATATGCGCCGAATCTTTGTTGAGCATTAACAGTACTGTATTTTCCCAAGGATATGGTCCTGTGTTCTTCCCCAAATCCACTCGCATTACATGAAGCTCCCAGGTCAGTGGCATTGATCGCACAACTGACAATGGTGCCGACCAAGAATATCTTCTAGGCAATTGCTGAATGGCAGTGCTCTCTCCGTCTCTTTTTCTGTCTCTGTTTGGCTCTTTCTCTCTCTCGCTCTGTCTCTCTGTCTCTCTCTCTCTCTCTCTCTCTCTCTCTCTCTCTCTCTCTCTCTCTCTCTCTCTCTCTCTCTCTCTCTCTCTCTCTCTCTCTCTCTCTCTCTCTGTCTGCCTCTCTCTCTCTCTCTCTCTCTCTCTCTCTCTCTCTCTCTCTCTCTCTCTCTCTCTCTCTCTCTCTCTCTCTCCAGCCTTGGCTGCCCGTCATTCTCCAATCCATCGTTCACACCGAAGCCGGACTCTAGTGTGTCTCGGTCGGCCTTCTTCCCCGACGAAGCAATAAACCCTCATCCAAGATTCAGGTGATGGTCTACTCTATGTTCTGTGTGTGTCCGCGTGTGTGTGTGTATCTGCGTGTGTGTATGTGTGTGTGTGTCCGCGCGCGCGCGTGTGTGTATGTGTGCGTGCGTGTGAGGGTGCGTGTGTGCTATAGCCTAAAACCTTTCGTTTTGGCAAAATAATGAGTAACCCAGGCCGGTCCCTGAGAGGTCTGCCCTATGCACTGTGTGAGCTGTAGGCTAACCGCGGGGACTAGAAAGATTTTACAAAGCTCAACCGATTTATAAACCAGCCTGAATTTGCGAGGAATTGTTTTAGCAATGAGTGTGTCCAAGAGTACATGCCACCATCATACGTTCTGTGGAGGCTGTAGTGCCTCATCTGTGTTCTATGTGGATAATGGCGATGCCTGAAGACTACAAGATCATTAACGTGTCTTCTCGTTAACCTATGCATTTCGGACGATCATTCAAGTTGTGATTCTTAATAATAACATGCCTTACAGTAATCTCTGTGTTGTTATGCTTCCTATTGAAGTGCGTCTGTACAGTACTGGTGGGCGCCGAAGAACGGCCAGCCTAGAATTTCACCAAGCACAGCATACCAACGTATACACGGTGACTCAACTGTGCATACGAGTAGACTGTGATACATGAAAAAAAGAACGATCAAGGCTAGGATGCTGACCCCCCCCCCCCCCCCCCCCCCCAGTTCTTCGGCGACCGACAGTACTGAATTGTAGGATGTGCTGGGTTTCGCGTACAGACTGTATGTTGTGTGACGTCTCCCTTTGTGCATGTGTTTGTGTGTCTTGTTCCTTGTCCCACTGGATGCTGCTCCCGATAGCACGCTGACGAGGAATATTCGAACAAGACGCGGATCGAAGATCGCCATCCATGTACCGAGTAAGTGTTCCGTGTGCATTTGCGCGCCCGTGTGGGGGGGGCTGTGCGTGTGGGTGTGTCGCATCTATTTGCCATGGGTGTGTGTTCAAGCTTTAGTACTGTTGTACTATACGTGTACACACACACACACGCGCGCGCGAGCGCGCGCAGACACACACACACACTGTCACACACCTCAGACCTCAGACCTGCCCATCGCGTAAGCGATGATAGCGAACAGCTATGTTAGACATAGCAACTTGTGCTGGAATTACACCATTCAACAGCTTGCAAGGCTGATGAATTGACCGCCACTATTTTTAGCCTGGTATCCACCACACAGCTGATTGAAGTGACTTTTTCTGGCCAGTGAATCCCTATTTTCATTTTTCCATCTGTCACACACACACACACACACACACCTGTACACGGCTCGCAGTTGTGAATCACTGTCGCGAACTGACTTGAAAATGTGTGTTTCTGCGTGTGTCCTTGCTACATGGTACTATCCAGTTTTCAAAGACGTTCAACACTCCCAGTCCCTTTCTGGAAGACATGTCGCAACACGACGAGGAAACACAAGCGGTGGCCAGCCCGATCATATCTATATGGATGCCATGGGCTTCGGTATGGGAATGAGCTGCTTGCAGGTAAGGACGGGAGCGGCAATTCATTACAGAGGTTAGGCTGCACGTTATTTTTGACGTGACGCGAAAGTTCAGCTCGCGTTATTTGGTTCGTGCGTTGGAAAAAAACGCGAGTGGCCTGAAAGCTCACGTCGAAATTTGAGTTTACGGCCAAAATTGACGTGAAACTGCGTTCACTTAAAAAAATAACGAGCAGCTTAACCTCCTACTACTATGTACTTCCTCCGCGTCATCGAAATTGTCGCAGTTTGACTAGTGACTTGTCACTTGGTTACTGACAACTCCATAAGCTAAGCCATTCAAAACATATTACACAGAATGATAGTCTGAAGCCTAGAGTAACGTTCCAGGACAGTTGGACTGAGAGTTTGCATGCAGAGATGAAGTCCTCGTCGTCGCTGATGTCAATGGACGCAAAAATATCGTTCCGAAATATTTCAAGGAAGGTTGAAAGTTGGTCGCGCCTCATCTCAAACGCTTTGACTTTCTCCACAGGACAAGAGCTGCTATGCTTGTCGTCTGCTAGCTCTGGATGATTTCTACTTCACCACCAACGAAGCCTAGCAAGAATACACGATCGTTGCGAGGTCGGTTGATTACCGTCGGCGGAATCACCTCGATCTTGAAATGAACTTTTTTTAGCCGTGGCATGCCCATTTATTTTAGCTGTGTGGTCACAGCTCATGCAGGTAAGTGTACTATCACGTCCAGCGCGCCATCTTTTTCAGCATCACTGCCCGGCCCTGATTCACTGGTATGCCATGGTACGGCACCTGCGCGTGCATCACTAGCACTACATGTAGAGTCTACACGGCTCTTGCAGGTACAATCATGTACTGAGTGTCTCGGCCAGAGCGACAAATTTTATCGCTGTTGCAGGCATTTAGTTTGCTGACCCCTCGTTGTTTCTCCAAGCGCTGCCACTTGTTCCACGAAGTCATTCGCACCCCAGCTAAGGTGAAACAGTGATGAGGCTTGAGTGAATGGCCATAAGCACGAGAAATGTGCAGGCTGCAACGCCTGACTGATCTCAGCGAGTCGAAATTACCATCGCAGCGACATCAGCGAAGAAATTGCGTCTAGTTCAAAAATTCCAGCTTCCAATAACAGAAAATAGAACTTTGCCGTCACCCTATACTGATGACCATCGCCTATGTCCGATTCCTTACCTGTGGTACGAGTGCTGGTGAGTAAATACCCCGTTTTATATCAAAAGTCAAACTGCGACAATTTCGATGACGCGGAGGAAGTACATGTATAACCCCAGCAGCTACTTGGGATTTTTTCTTAGACGGAGTGGAGTCTGGATCAGACTCCACGGCTGCCCTTGTTGTATGTGGTTTCCCAATATCAAAACTCAGGGCTTGCCTATCGTACGCTTCTCTCTCTCTTTCTCTCTCTCTCTCTCTCTCTCTCTCTCTCTCTCTCTTCTCTCTCTCTCTCTCTCTCTCTCTCTCTCTCTCTCTCTCCAGTTCGCAAGGCTGGGCGGGGTTGTGAGCAGGCTTTCATTTCATCTTTTCTTATTATTTCTTATTATTTCTGCTTTTCATCTTATTACAAAAATTCTGCGCTTTTTTCGCCATCTGCGCATAAAATCTAGACTGACAACCTGCTTGTTAAATCATGCACCTGCTTTGAGGCGTAAAAACCCTGTTGTAGAGGTCTCAGTCCTCATTTGTTAGACTTACCTGTCTTTATAAATGTAACTTTCTCTCTCTCTCTCTCTCTCTCTCTCTCTCTCTCTCTCTCTCTCTCTCTCTATCTATCTATCTATCTATCTATCTGTCTCTCTCTATCTGTCTCTCTCTATCTGTCTATCTATTTATCTATCTATCCATCTCCCCCTTTCTCCCCTCCCTCCCCCCCCCCCCCCCCCCCCCAGGGGCGTCGGACACGGTACGGGCACTACGGTATTGACTGTACCACTTTAATACACTGATCTGAACTCTAAATTTCCAAATTTCGGCTCAGCCACCCTCCCCGACGAGTAACTTGTACTTCAGATGGCTGACCGTACCACACTAAAATACTTTCCGATGCCCCCCCCCCCCCTCCCTCTCTCTCTCTCGCTCGCTCTCTCTCTCTCTCCCCACCACCCACCATGGCATCATTCGCCTAACCACATCTATTTGACACCAACCTACAGGGCCTGTCCTTGATTTTACCTGCTTGTTACTTTCTCTTATGTTGTCTGGCTCAGGTGACTTTCCAGGCATGCTCTTTAGCGGAGGGACGGCTACTGTACGATCAGCTCACCGCTATCT